AGCTTGGATACGTGTACTACAGGGAACAAGCAATATTCGGTACATGCCGTCTCCAGCTTTACCGCAAGGTCCCTTATCTTTTCGCTCACCCGGAACGGTCCATGCCATAGATGGGCCAATTTGCGGGCGTACCCTTCTTTCACTCGATCCAAATAAAGCCACACCTGCGATCCCACTTGGATTTGATGTGGACGGGCGTCTTCGTTGTGTCGATCCGCTCGATTCTGTATCGCACTCCGCAGTCGTTCGTTCACCGGGGATCTAGCTTGCCGGTAGTATTTCTGGACTTGGTATCGCCATCGCCTTGGATCTCGGTCTCTCTTCTTGGTGCTGCATACTGGGATGGCCGCTTCCAGGGTGGATTTGGGATCCCACCCATGTACCAAGTAAAATGGGGTATCACCCCGGATCCTGTCTTGGGCGGTGTTTATCGCGAAGGGGAGTCGTTCTGCGTACTCATCCCAATCCCTCTGATCCAAATCCTGGACATACATCTTGAGTGCTCTCGTGATCGTCTGCACCATGCGCTCGGCCGACCCGTTAGCTTGGGGACGATATGCCATGGTTGCTCGCTGTCGCTGCCCCAGGATCCGGTTGAATGCTCGAAAGAAATCAGACATAAAGCCTAGCTCCCGATCATGTCTAATCATTTCGCTAGCTCCAAATCTTCGGAAAACACACTCCTCGTACGATTCAGCAATGGTTTGCGCAGTTCTAGACGCACTAGCTTTGGCTATCACGTATCCGGTAAACAGGTCCACCCAAATCAACAATTCTGTGTTTCCTTTGAACGACTTGGGCAACGAGGGGATATAATCCATGGCTATGATTTGGAAAGGGTAAGTCGCTTGGATATTCCCAGGTGACTCCCCTTCGATTGTGGGCCTGCCCTTGCCTGTCTCACAATCCACACATTCGCCGACATATCGTTGCACACCCTTGAATAGTCCCCTCCAGTGGAAACATTCCCGTATCCGTTGGTAGGTCCGACCAATCCCTTGATGTCCACCTTCTAGACTAGCGTGATAGTGATGTAAGACATCCTGTTGTAAGATTTCCGGCACCACCAGTCTCATCAATCCATCCCGATCCTCGTTGACTCTCTTCGTAGGGGGACAATAGAAGAGCAAGTCATTCAGATCCACTGCATAATTGGTATCGATAATACTGTAGGATTTGGTATCCTCCCGACTAAGGTCTCGTACATCCCCCATCAGATACTTCTTTAGTCCCACGATCCACACTTCTTCGTTCTGTGCTTTGAGGATCCGCGCAATGCGGACACAAATGCTTCGTCGAGACTCTGGGGGCTGGATCCAATCCTTCATCTGGATCCAGTGACGGCCATTACCCGGACTGTCATTTTTTCGGATCCAACCACCACCACCTCGTCTAGTCGGTTCAGCGTGACGAGATCCTGATGCTCGGCCTCTGTCTCCACCTCGACACCACATTGATTCCGTAAAGCGGCACTGGCCAAGCTATCTGCACTGGCATTCCAATCTCGCTTGACATGCACCAACTCGTGATTCAACCAACCACGCAGGTGGATCATCACTTTCTGCCGTAACAGTGTTAGGGCCGGGGCCTTGCAGTCAATCTCACCTCGCACCTGTCTGATCACCAAGTTTAAATTGCCACAAATAACCAGCCTTTTTGAATCCTGTCCCTTTAGTAGATCAAAACCCAGCAGGAGCCCGTTATACTCTGCTTCATTGACGGTGAGGCCTTCCGCGTAAGTGGATCTGGCCCGTACAACCTCTATCCGGGCAGTCTCCACAGTATTGCGCTGTATGCCCCTCCTCCGCGTCGTACGCGAGCGGATCCATCGAAACTCAGGACGTACAGATCCTCATCCATCTGTACCGTCGGGATCGGGATCTGGATCCGGCGTTTGGGCTCTTTCTTAGGAGCGATCCTAGTCAGCGCTTCATCCATCGTAGCTCGAGGTGTGATGCTCGCGGCCAAGCCTCCCAGGATCTCGTCTTCCCCTTTCGAACATTTCACAATCTCCAGTGTCCAAGGCGAGAGTAAAGCTGCCCACTGTCCCAAACGTCCTTGTAACCCGGCCGACTTGAACAGCCAAACTAGCGTAGAGTGTCGAGTCAGGATCCGGATGGATCTTCCCACCAGCAGGTTGTAATTGAGATCCAACACGCGCAAGAGCGCGAGTATCTCCTTCTCCACCGCTCCGTAGTTCAGTTCATTTGGCTTTAGCGTCCGGCTGACGAAGGTGACCGGATGACAGATCCCCTCATGTTCTTGTACCAAGACTGCTAAGACTGCCCAGTCACTGGCATAAACTATAACCGTAGGTTGACGTTCCGAAACGAAATGACGGAGGATGGGTGTGGTCGCGGTCCTGTTCCTCAGCTCCACGAATGCGTGTTGAGCTCGGATCCACCGAGGTTCCACCTTTTCCGAGTTTTGATCCGTCGTCTCTATCCAGATTGGATCCTCTTCCCGTTGGATCCAGCTCCTGTTTAGGTCCTCTTCTGGCGTCGTACTACTTGGATCCCTTCGTGGGTCCGACATCTCCTGGACCAGGGCTTGTTGGATTTTGATTTGGACAGCCGAAGTGGCCATCGCAGCGAAATCTACTTCTCTCAATTCATACAGTACCACAGCAAACCGTGCGTAATCCTCGATGAACCGACTGTAGTAGTTCAAACTGCCCAAGAAGGATTGCATCGCCCGTAACGACTGCGGGAAGGACAAATCGGCTAACGAAGACAGGTCCTTAGGATTCGCCTCCAATCCCTCCTTGAAACTCGATGGCCTAAGTAATCCACCTTTGCGCATCCCCAATACACTGATAGAGAGATTCCACTTAGTACACG